ATCACTCAGAGCATCATTCAGTCCATCATTGTTTGCATCTGTGTGAATTATGACAGAGGGCAATTAAAATAAAACTGTTGCAAATCTGTTGTCAGTAGGAACTACATTTTTGTATAAATTTACCTATTACACAGTGTACATTAATACTAAAGTACTGCAGAAACTACTCGTTAATGAATAAGGAACATCTAAATAAATAAAACTATGAAAAACAAGTAACCTTTTGGATCAGATGAACTCATATGCACAACAGTCTTCAGTTTGTCACTGTTTGCCGCTGTATATATAACTTCAAATTCTAGAAAATACATCAATAGTTTACATCTATGCATTGCTGAACACGCTTTCCCTGGTGAACCGTAAATATAACAAATAACTTACAGTCTGAATTAGACACCAGCTGGGTGTGAACACCCTTCTGTTCACCTAGCACTGTAAAAAACATGAAAGAAGTACAAATTTAAAAACAAATAAAACTGAAGATGCATTGAATTTGCATAACTACTCTCAAATTTATTTATTCAACTTCATTTGATTACCTTTGGTAAGTTCAGTGTCATCGTTCCTCGGTTGTTTCCTCGCTGTTAAGAAGATAAATATTAGGAATAACCTATTTTAAATGTGATCACAGTCTCTTTTAATCTTTATTAGAATGCACAGGGTTTTAAAGTTTCCCCATCTTTCAAACACAACACCAACTCTTCATTAAATTGATATTTAAATGTTACGATGACTGGCGTTATCCTGGGTTCTTGGTCATGTTTGAAATCTGAAAGAGCCAAGGTTACTGTTTCCAACTTGTTTTCATGTCTTGCTAGCTGTCGAGCAGTATAATGAGTTTCATTCTTGCATCGTCCTGTCTCACCTATTTTCCGGATTTTTTTGTTGTTGTTGGATTAGCAAGTCTGTTGACGGCACGTTTCAGCTCATTCAGTTCAAACTGTGTGTAGCATCCGCGCCGTTATCGTCTCTTTGTCTTGTCTTTGCTCTTCCTTTGCATCCTAGCTTCCACCTTTCTCGTCCAAATCTTCAGCGAGACAGTTTTGGTCATGTTCATATGTGGTGATCCATCCTGCATTTCAACTGTCCACAAGCGTAAGTCCTTTCTGCATAATATCAGTAGTTCTTGCTTCTCCGCCGCTGTAAGTCCACACCAAGCATAACGTCCACTTCCTTCATTTTTTTCAATGACTGTAGTGTTGACTCTGTACTGGTCTTCATTCCCTCGTTTACAGAATTTGTACGAATCTTGCCAATTCCTCTGATTTATACTTTCACTGAAGGACAGTGTATTTGTGGTATGCTTGGAGGCCTTTCATACTTGGTGCAAAAGTGAATACGAATGTAAAATGGTGACATCAGATCAAATGCTCATGCAGTGAATTCACAAAATCTCAACACATTTCAAGTGAAGTGTAAGTGAACTGTAACTGTTTTGTGACATCAAAATTCTAGTTTGCCTGAGGTATGAACCAGCTGTATCACCGACTTTGAATCATAAAAATCCAGTATATCCTGCATCTGTGTTTAAATGATATTATTTATTCAAGCACTGCAAAAGCTGGTGACCAACCATACTTCCATGCAAAGCACATTGCTTGTGACTGGCTGTCAACCAATTATTGCTGGACATGTGTTGTTGCAAGAGAGCATTTCTGCTTAGCAGTACCATAAACTGGACTCTGGTTAAAACCATGTGAAAATCTTTAGTCACAAGAAAAACGACCCTACATTTTTAGTGATGTTGTGCATGTTCACTACTGGCTGTGTTAGTTTACGCTGATCCTGCATTAGATTCAACCTTTACATTTTGATTAATGGATTTATTTACCAAACAATGTCTGCATATTGAGTTATTGTGTTTAAATTGAAAGTCAACAGTTACAACCATTCCACATAAAGAGGAACAATTTTATAAAACTTGTTCAGACTGAACTTTACCAGATGTTTGCTGTGTACTACAGCGTAATGTTACTTGTCTGAGTTAACTTTTACATGTTTTGTGTGCAGATTGATAAAAAAAATTATATGCGAGAACTTCTGAATGAAGCTATTTCCATATTATGTATTGAGCCAATAACAGAACAGCTGTGTTATTAGTAACTTTTCCTGGCAGGCATCAGTGATGGAATAGGTATAGTGTTATCTCAAATAGTCAATTACATGCTCGCTTGGGGATTTATGTTATGCCTCATAATTGGCCAAGAGGAGCTGGCTGCCAGTAGAAGTAGCAATTCGGTTGATCACTTACTCTTTTTGGCAAAACTGACTTGTACTAAGCAATTTTTATCTATTGTAGGTCCACAAACATTGATGTCTTAAATTTCAAATGAATCATGTCGTCTTCTTGGCATTTACAATTATTTTGTAACTAATGTCTGTGTCCACTGCCACTACTTTTCTTAAATTTTCAAAAGGAATTTTGATAAGTCATGAAATCAAGTATCACTGGCAGTACTTTGCATCTTAACTGAAATACTGTCTAAACAATTGTCACTCTGTATTTAATATAAGGAAATTTCCTTTTCGAGTCTATCAAGTGGCAGATAGCTCATGAGTTGCCGTGAGATTGGATGGCATTCGACTACAACACTGCTTGTTTTCATGCAGTATACATGTATGCTGGATTCCAGTTGGTAATGAAATGTGCTTTGATTTCCAGTTTCCCATTCAGTCCATTTAATTTTTGAAAAGAGAAAATTGTTGTTGAAATGATTTGGACATAGTTTCGATTCCAAGCTTTTCACTGAAAGGAACACTGAAATAAAATCTGGTAATGGAAACTTTCTTCTTGCCAAGCTTTGTGACAAGAAAACACTCTGATTGCCAAACAGTTGCCAAGGTGGTAGATTGAGGATTTTGGATAGACTTGTACACCACAATGATGTCACGCTTTATGCACGCTTTAAATTTCATGTGGTAGCGAGGCCTAGGTTGGACATATCCGAGGAGTCCCATGGGAATGCGCACATTGTAACAGCGTGACGTCATTTAGCTTTAGATTCATTAGGAAGTGGGTTTAAAGTGTAAAAACTAGAAGTATTAATTTATTTCTCTTTCATGTGATCCATTGGTCACAACACAAAGTTGTCTATGCGCGTCGTTTCATTCCTAGATTTGTTATCAACTAGTGAGGTTTATCCGTGTCAATATCTAAATTGCTTCGTAATTTACTGCATACGATTGCAAGAATCCCCCCTCCCAACAATACCACTTTACAATGTTGCTGCTTTCAATTCCTTAAAAACAAATTATCAGAAAGGGCAACATCTATCGAAGGAGGCGGAACTTGCCTCGCCCCCATCGACAATACAATATATATCTTGGTCTAATTTTTTGGATGAACGAAGCCTGTCCAAACGAGTTGATAGGTCTACACTCGCAACATAGGGTATTTTTTGCATAAGATCGAACTCGCTGCCACATTACCTGAATTATGTTGAATCCCGGCTGGGGTAAGTCCCGCTAGGGAGAAATATGTTGTCTACACCCCCACCTACTTTACTGATTTTAACCAAATTTCTGTCCATTTTGGACTTCATTTTTGGACTGCAAAATATGTCTCAATGGCATTATGCTCACACTTAGAGGAGTGGCCATATCTATCGTCTTTTGGGACTTCATGTCTTGTATGTGTAAATAAAATAATCGTGACAAACTGGCGCGTACCTCAGTATGCTTTCAATATATGGATCATTATGTACAATCAGTGCTCTTAATTTATCTAACTGCCGAGCTTTTGGTAACTGGGCACCTTTGTCAGGACAAGCAGATTCAGTTTGCCTAGCTGACGAAGGTACCCAGTTACCGAAAGCTCATCAATAAGATAAATTAAGAGCAATGATTGTATATTTTTTGTCAGTATTTGATCACGGTGCACCAGTGCTAGCAACGAAACCCTTTTCAGTTTCTCAATATCCTTTCATTCTACGTATTCATTGTCAATTTAAAAGAAAAGCAATGCGCAGTGCTCCGAAAGTTGCATACACCTATTACACGCCTGTAGAAAAGAGTGCAAAATCAGACTGAAATAGCGCCGCCTGCTGACTCTTAGGAAGAGCTGCTTCCGTTTTTTTTTCACTGGAAATGCAAGATTATGGCCAGAAAATCACCTTTCGTTTCGATTTTATAGGGGTAGGCACGAATTGTTTTATTTACCTTTCCCTGAAGATACCCGAAAAATAGTAGTAAAACTATCAGTCCCAAATTTGGGATTTATAGAAATATTTCTATGATCCCTCCTGATTATGGCATGTCTTATCGTGAAAACCCATGAACCCCTGGGATCACAAACTTAATGAGCTCACGCGCAGAAATAGGCCTACATCCATTGAGCGGAATGCATTCCGAACGCGCTCCAGCGGAAACGCTAACTAGTCACCAACAAACACAACGGCTCTTTTCAGAGCCACTACTTCTACCATTAAAGAGATTCGCTGTTTGCCATAACTGCCTATTTGTCAGTTACCATGACTAGAAGAAAATTTCACCCTTTCCATAAAAAAGAAAAACACAAAA